GCTTTTAAGTCTCTTTTTATTCTCTTTGCCTTGTATGTTCCAGTTAGAGAGTTTACTAACTTCTTAACAGGTGTTCTTAATAGTTATAATACAGAGTTTGTTTGCTGTGTTCAGATTTTTCTTTTGTGGTCAATGGGAGGTATCTGGAGATATCTGTTTGTTAGGAAAGTGATTATTCACAAATATATATGACTTGCTAAAAGAAAGCCATTAAAAAAATATTAAAAAAACAGTATAACACAAATATTATTAATCTTCTGCCATTTCTTCTCACTCCTTGATGATCCATCAGGTGTTTGCCAGGATGTTGGTTTGTTGACTCAACCACACTGTATTTACAACTGATTTTCATTTACAGCTGATTTACTTCCACTTTACTGGGGGCTGACACAACCACATTGTACATCATATCATATACAGCTGATATATTTTCACTTTACTGGGGGTTGACACAACCACACTGTACATCATATCATATACAGCTGATATACTTCCACTTTACTGGGGGCTAAAACAACCACACTGTACATCATATCATATACAGCTGATATACTTCCACTTTACTGGGGGCTAAAACAACCACACTGTACATCATATCATATACAGCTGATATACTTCCACTTTACTGGGGGTTGACTCAACCACACTGTACATCATATCATATACAGCTGATTTACTTCCACTTTACTGGGGGCTAAAACAACCACACTGTACATCATATCATATACAGCTGATATACTTCCACTTTACTGGGGGTTGACTCAACCACACTGTACATCATATCATATACAGCTGATTTACTTCCACTTTACTGGGGGCTAAAACAACCACACTGTACATCATATCATATACAGCTGATTTACTTCCACTTTACTGGGGGCTAACTCAACCACACTGTACATCATATCATATACAGCTGATATACTTCCACTTTACTGGGGGTTGACTCAACCACACTGTACATCATATCATATACAGCTGATTTACTTCCACTTTACTGGGGGCTAAAACAACCACACTGTACATCATATCATATACAGCTGATTTACTTCCACTTTACTGGGGGCTAACTCAACCACACTGTACATCATATCTTAGACAGCTGATTTACTTCCACTTTACTGGGGGCTGAAACAACCACACTGTACATCATATCATATACAGCTGATTTACTTCCACTTTACTGGGGGCTAACTCAACCACACTGTACATCATATCTTATACAGCTGATTTACTTCCACTTTACTGGGGGCTGAAACAACCACACTGTACATCATATCATATACAGCTTATTTACTTCCACTGTGCTGGGGGCTGACTTAATCACACTGTACATAATATTATATACAGCTGATTTACTTCCACTTTACTGGGTGCAGACACAACTTACTGGGGGCTGACACAACCACACTGTACATCATACATACAGCTGACAATAGTTCCCTTGTTGCTGGAGTTTCCAACCAAACTTTTACCAGATTTCTTGGAGTAACATGGTTCCTACTTGGTAGGGGGAGGGGAAGGTGTTAGACATGATCAGACAGTGGGTGAAAGTTAAAATATCTTCACTGACCTCAAGTTCTACACCTTTAGGTACTGAAGACTTCTTTTCAAGGGAATTAATCATCTCCTGTGACTCCACTAGTAGCTTGTATAATCTGGACACTGGAGAGAGTGCTGTCCCCTGTAGTACCAAAATAGAAAGGCAAGCCTGTGACAAAAATCTGACAACAGTGTCACTAGAACGTTTGTACCTGGAGCCCATATGGCAAAAGTGACCTAAAACCTACTCAGAAAAGTACAGAAGGCAGGTATGAATGAGGTGTAGTGAGCTGAAGGAGATCATAAAAGATAGGATGGTTTAGCGCAATGAGTTAAGGAGTTGTGCTTCGATCTGAGTATAATGGAAAGAAAATATTCTCACACTGTTTTTAACAGTGTGTGTGTGTGTGTGTGTGTGTGCACGCGTGCGCATGTGTGTGTGTGTAGAGCACTTGTGTTGGTGACTGATATTGCTGCAATATAACACAGATGCAGAAATCACTTAATCTTCTATTTTTTAAATGTAATTTGCACAAGATATTGTTTACACACTCTGATAATATCGATATTCTTAAACAATAAAGACGAATAAATATTGTTTTTATGATATAAAGTAGATCCTTACCATCAAAGATTCATCCCCCTGGCTGGATATATCGAGTGAAGCCAACAGAGAATCATCACATTTCTCAGCTAGCTCCTCCACAGAACTGGCAGACTCCCAGACAGAAGCGCTAGATGTACCTCTGGCCTGGCAGACAGAAGTACCTGATGTACCTCTGGCCTGGCAGTCAACAGATCCATTGCTGTCTCTGGTGTCCACAGGTATTTCTTCGACTGCTCTGTGCAAGGCTAGGTTATAATGCTGAACATTCAGGTGATCTATATTTTTGCCTTGAAGGATCTGCTGCTGTTTCTTCGCATCCTCCTGTCTCCTAGGATTATATGATGTAATCATATTGTTGCAACACTCTTTACCTTTAGGCACAGGGATGTGTTTGCACTGATGACTCTTTCTCTGGTTTTGGGAAAAATACAACTGGCTATCACTGCTGTCAACATTTTCACAATCTTCATCAAAGAAAGAGCAGTCTGTGATTTCAGACACTAGGATGTTATTGTTAACATGACCAGTTCTCATGCTTTTAGCTCGGAAACATTGTTCATCATCAGTGACATCAATTTCTCCTAAATCTTCTTCAGACAGAGCACTGAAGTTACTACCATGATTATTTCCTTCAGATAGAGCACTGAAGTTACTACTATGATTATTTCCTTCAGACAGAGCACTGAAGTTACTCCCAAGATGATCTCTTTTAGACAGAGCACTGCAGTTACTGCCATAATTATTTCCTTCAGACAGAGCACTAAAGTTACCACCACGATTATTTCTTTCAGACAGAGCACTGAAGTTACTGCCATGTTTATTTCCTTCAGTCAGAGCACTGAAGTTAATGCCATGATTATTTCCTTCAGACAGAGCACTGAAGTTACTGCTATGATTATTTCCTTTACTGCATTCCAGATTGATTTCCCTCTCCTTCTCATTCGTCTCAATTTGCTTGCTAATGTTTCGTCTATTGTGTGAACTGAATTCCTCTTCTTTAACATCTACATTCTCTAATGACTGGACTAGGCTTGGTTCTTTTTCTTTGATATCACCATAAGGTTCACACTGTGCCTGTAAACCATCATTAAGGCCTTCACATGAAAGTTTAAAATGGCTTTGAATATTTTGGTCATGACAACTAACAGCTCTAGCAGGATCAATGTATTCTGGGCTGCCATGGATAACTGATTGAAGTGCATGTACACATCTACCTTCTCTATACCAAATGCCTGTAGCAGCAGGTAAGCTCTTTGCAGCAAATTTGTCTTGATTTATACCCTCATTACTAGAGCATGCTGGGAGACATTGCTGGCCAGATGAATCGAGAAAACAACATCCATTTTCAGTTCCATTATTCTCAAGAAGTGGGTCACTGAAGTCTAGTTTTTTAACTAGATTGTCAAACTTCTTCAGTGGGCTATGAGGCAAAGTGGATCTTTCAGTAGGTGAGAACTGTATATGTGAAATATCCCAGATATTGCTATTATTAATATTGCTGTTTTTGTTATAAGGATCATTATATTGTTCTAAATTATTATTAATTATTTTATTACTTCCCATATCAGGGGATTCATCCTGATCTTTGTCTTGCTGGAACAAAGGGCAAGAATTCACTGCCGATCTGTGATCAGTGCAGTCTATTGGTTTTCCAGGATTAGTTGAGGGATCTGTTGATTCTACACTGAAACTATAATGTCCAGAATCTGAAGACTGACTGTCTGATCTGCTGTCTGTAATGTCTGTTACAAAACTGTCCTTGTACTGGCTATAGACAGTGTGATTCCTGTTACATGGCTTGAAGTCAGGTGGCTTATTTTTGGTTGAAACATGACCATGTGACCTGGTATTAATGGTATCAAGCACACCTTCTGCATGTATGCTGCTCTCTAGTAAGGCTGGTTGTATGACCCATTCATAACGCCTGGTTGTCTCTGAGAAGTGAATGAGAGACAGATGTTTGTAAAGTGATGGCTCTCTAGTGGACACAGAATTAAAAACTCGACAAGCTGGTGCAAATGCAGCTTTTAAGAATGCCACAGGTTGCTTCCTTTTAACACCACAATTAAACCTACAGGGCCTTTCACGACTGCTATTTAAAACTAATTCATTAGGATGGAAATGAGACCCTGCCACTAATCTAGTTGTCGGATGGCAACAGTTACTTTCAGGATGATCATCTTCACTTCTTGTCTCAGGTAACAACCCTGGAACATGCCTTTTGTCACTCAGTTCTGGTGAGGCAACTCCAGTGTGGCCTTTGATGGGATGCTTGCTGTCACAGCCAGAGGATGTAGAAAGACGGACATGTGGGTTCATCTCTGCCTTTTTGTTCCCTACAGCTTTTTGAAACACAGTCTGACTGCGTGTTTCTTGCAGTTTACCGTTTTCTTGTCTGAAATTCTTGCCATTAAGAATGCTGTAGTCTGGCATATCTTCTGAATCTGAAGGCAACAGGACAGAATCTGGCAAACCATCTTCTTCATTGCTATCAAAAATATAATCAACATAGGTTGACAGGTTTCCATCCTGTAACGGTGCTTTTATTTCCTGTCTGCACAGTTCCGAGCAACTGTATGGGTCAAAGTTCATTATATTATCAGTACATTTATTGTTGTTGTTATTATACATCTCTCTCCTAATTGTGCTATGATTGGCCAGATATGTGGTAATCCTTTCTGGCAGATCCTGACCAGAAACCTTATGAGAAACAATCACAACACTTTGGTCATGAACAGGTTTGTCTTCCAGAATGCTCCCACGGCTCTTCTGATCTAAATGATGTAAGGCTGAGCTGTTAGCCTCTTCTGCAGAGGAACATGTCTGCACCCGGATTCTATCTGCAGACTGCAACTGGTGATTCTGGGATTTGCTCAACACTGAATTGTATTCCAGGAGAGAGTCTATTTCACTGAAGGTCATTTTTGATGCGGCAGGAGCTAGTCCCCCATGAGAGGAATACCTCAGTTCATGTTTTAATGAATCTGCTTCCACAGTAGTCATCATCTTGTTGGCGAATGCTGAATGGTTTCTCTGAACTATGCAACAGTTGCAGCAGCCTTTGCCTTCAGCCTTACACTGGCTGCATAGCCCAACATTCCACTGATGAGGTGCACTGCTCTCCTTCTGTCTCATGCTGTTCTTGAGACAGTATTCACCATCATTCTCTTGTGCCTGCTGGGGCTCACTGGCATCATGCTGAAACTTTCCTCTTCCTTGGAAATAAACATTCTCTGCGGGATGATCTATCATATTTGATGAGTCATGACCATGTTGAGGTCTATTTTCTTCTCTCACTCCCGGAGACTGTCGGCTGCTCTGACAGCACGAGCTTCCATACTGCTGAGTTTTAGAGTATACGTTCCCTCTCGTCGTCACACATGGCCTCCTCTCTGCTGTTGGAGGAGAATAAGATTCACTCTCTGGTCCCAGATACTGTGACTGAGTTTCAGCACTAACTGACTTGGTCAGATCTTCACTGGCATCAAACTCCACGGATCTCTTCCTCATAGCATGCTTAGCCGCTGCAGACGATTCTTTCTTGTCTGTCTTGTCTTTCTTCAAGAAGCTGCTTTTCTTTGGTGCAGTCAAGCTGTTGGATGGTGTTCTAGAACTTCTAGACTCAAAGCCACTGGCCTCCAGCATCGGACTCAGTCTGTCCAGCTGCTGAATGCGCAACACATCTGTCAACAGAACAAGTTCAGTATTCATATGTACAAATGTAACCCAGCAAAAGCAAATGTTCAAAATGCATGCCAGCATTTATAGCCATGGACAATGGCTACATAAAATAAGGCAGGTTTCCTGTTGCAGCACCCTGTACAAGTACAAAATATTTACTCATTAAATCATTTCAGAAGTGAAGACAGATGATGTTTTGACACATTGCTGAGAATATCGGGTGATTTTATTGTGGTTTAAAAAAAATTTGAAAAAAAACAAACACATATCGTCCACCACATGTGACAGGCATTTGTTCATGTCACACTGACACAGGGCATAACATCCACCACACCTGACAGGCATTTGTTCATGTCACGCTGACACAGGGCATATCATCCACCACACCTGACAGGCATTTGTTTATGTCACACTGACACAGGGCATATCATCCACCAAACCTGACAGGCAATTGCTATTCTGTATTGATATTTGAGGACATCCGAGAGAAAACCTAAGGCAAATGTTGATGAGAGAGGCCAAAGGCACTGGACTGGAGTCCACCCATGATACTTAGGTGACTGTATGTGACAGAAGCTAATGGAGAAATAGATTGCGAGCCTGTGTGACAAGACAAACATTGGCACAACAAGACAATACATGAATGAATTCCTATTGTAATTCTTCACAGTGGTATTTTTCTTCCTGGGGGGGGGGGGGGGGGGGGGGGGTTTGGGAATAAAATATTTCAGCCTCATATACTGCTGCTGTTCATGTTGCAGAAGCTGGGCTAAGTGCTTGCATTTATTAGGGTAAAGCTTGGTTAGAGATATTCTTTTTCAGACCTGGTAGCAAGGCATCACCTCCACAGGGCTGTGCTGCAGAACCCTGTTTTCCTGCTCCAAGTCAAGAAAGCCCTGGGGAGTGCCAGATGGGTGCTAATACTTCATGTCTGCTCAAATTCAGACCCAGCCAGAGGAAATAATTGCCCCATATTTCTCTGGGAATTATGTGGTAAGAAAACAAGGAAGAAGTGAACTGGTCAACAAACCTCACAAGGCAGACAGAAGTAAACTGGTCAACAAACCTCACAAGGCAGACAGAAGTGAACTGGTCAACAAACCTCACTAGGCAGACAGAAGTGAACTGGTCAACAAACTTCACAAGGCAGGCAGAAGTGAACTGGTCAACAAACCTCACAAGGCAGACAGAAGTGAACTGGTCAACAAACATCACAAAGCAGACAGAAGTGAACTGGTCAACAAACCTCACAAAGCAGACAGAAGTGAACTGGTCAACAAACCTCACAAAGCAGACAGAAGTGAACTGGTCAACAAACCTCACAAAGCAGGCAGAAGTGAACTGGTCAACAAACCTCACTAAGCAGACAGAAGTGAACTGGTCAACAAACGTAATAAGGCAGAGAGAAGCAAACTGGTCAATAAACCTAATGAGACAGAGACAAGTGAATAGTAGAATCAACCATGGGGCAATATTCAGCTCTCTACTTTGTATGCTAATATATTTCTCAAATGATCCCCCCCCCCTCCCCCACCCCCAACAGCAGAATCTACCAAGGGGGCAATATTTAGCTCCCTAATTATGCTAACTGTGAATGCCTAAGAAGAATCTTGGCATTAAGAGGTAGGATAAGATCACAAACACTGAGATACTGGAAAGAGCAGGTAGTA